TAATCACTTTTCTCATTGCTGGGTCAAAATACCTGGCACCTGCAATTTAAAGGAGGAGCAACTTATTTTGGCACAGAGTTTTAGTCCATGCTCAGCAAGCTTAGTGCAGCAGTATCAAGGCACGAGGCCCCGTCATGAGGGAATGGTGCTCATATCAGGCAGGCAGTCAGGATGCAGGAGGAGAAGGGAGGAACGGGGGCAAAGGTGTATCTCTCTAGGTCATTCCAATGACCTACATCTGTCCAGGCCTGACCTCCTAATAGCGAGTTGTCTACAGCCTCCCAAATCAGTCACCTCCCACAAGGCCTGCTTCTGAGCGTACAAGGCTTTGGCAGGACATTCTAGAGCTAAACTATGATAGTCATTAAAATTAAGAACTATAACTCACAGAAAATATGTATAGTATAATATTATGATGTTTTTAAAAACACCAAAATATTCCCATATCTTTAGTTGACTAAAGGGAAGACTCAGCAACAGATGGGGTAATGAACAAGGCAATTTTTAAGTCACATTCAACTCAGTTTCTATAATCCTAAGAAGTAAAGGTTTATAGTTCCTTTAAAAATATACTGCATTGACCTATATAGAAAAACTGTAAAACTTTATGGAGAGACATAAAAAGGAGACCTAGATAAAAGGAGATGCATGGCAGCGTCTTGGGTTGATAGTCAACACTTTAAAGATATAAATTTTCCTTAAGAGTAATTTAAGATTAACATCAGCAACAACAAATGAATTTTGGTAAGGAGATAAAAAATCTTTCTAAAGATCATCTTGAAGATTAAATGTGTAAGAGGAACCTCTCCAACATTTGGAATTCAGACACTGAAAAATAACAACTTAGGGAAGAAAAGCAGCAGGGAAGTGGATCCCTGAGACCCAGGGAAGATCTGAAGGGACAATCAGAACCCACAATGTGAAAAGACAGATCATAATGCAGAAAAAGGATGGGACAAACTTCTTTCCCCCCAGCTCCCGGCTTGTGGCATGAGAGAAGGATCAAATCTCCAGGCACAGTGAGGGCAAGCGGCACCAGACGCCGCCCAAAAGAAATGCCACAGTGAAGCGGAGCAGAGGCTGCTGTGCACTACAGTAACTGGTGAGGGACTCCAGGACAAGGGCTGACATGGCTCCCGGAAGCGCGCTGGGCCAGCTGCATTTTAGGGAGGGGCCAGCTGAGCCTGGGACTGGGAATAGTAGCCCTGGGTTACTTTCATTTTAGGGCTCCCAATGTTGAAATGTAGAGTGAGTGACAGACAGCCACAGGACATGTCCAGGTCAGGCCTGTAAGAGACACTCAGAGTGTTGATCAGCCTTGGCACCATGACCAGAATCCAGGATCAACTTGAACTTCTGTGGATTTGAAAGCACTGCAAAATGAGGAGAACAAAAATATAAGATTTCTTGAAAGCATGTGGTAAATTCAATCGTATCTCCCACCTTGCATAACTGTATCTGTTAATCTGAGCAACAGATTTGATGATAAAAATAGATAATATATCAATCACTGTTAATCAGCTATTCTTGTTTTGAAAATCTGTAGTGTATATATTGTTATGCTACCCTTTCTGTCTTTATTTTTTTCTTGTTCTTGTTTTTATTATTCAAAATAAAATTACTAAAAAATACTTAAAAAAAGAAAGCACCACAATCAGCACCCTGCCCTAACCTTACCCCAGGCTTCTTGAGATTAAGCAACATGATCTGAGGTTTGACTGCCTACCTTGTCCCAGAGACACCAGAGTCACATCTTGAACTGGACACTATCACAAAGCTGTAGAACTGAGAAGATAACCACAGGCTTGAGATGACATAGAAGTTTGTTCTTTTTCTTTGCTGTTTTTCATTTATTTTTGTTTTTTCATGAGTATGAACATTGTTTTTTAGTTGAGCTTTCTGATTTCTTTACCCACCTTCTTCACCAGTTTCCCAAGGCTTGCATAATCTCCCTGTGTCCTTCTGCCATGCTTTGGATCTTTCTCTTCTTTTACTTTATTTTTTCCTCTTGTCCTTTCAAAAATTTCTCCCTTTAGGTTAAGATTACTCTATTGAATGGATATTTACTGTATATAATTATCTAATTTGTCTTAGATTTTGTTATATAACTATAAATCCTGCATCTATGGTTAAAGATGGCAAATTATTAGTTATCATAGTTTGTTATTTTCTAGTCTATGCTTAATGCTATTGTTATTATTGATTGTAGTACTTTAGCCGTGGTGACACAGTCATTGTGATCAATTGATCTTCCTTATATTCCAGTACCTAGGTTGTCGTGTGGTGTGTGTGTGTGTGTGTGTGTGTGTGTGATAAACAATACTATAGTCTAGTGTCAAAGAACTGAGTGTTAGCCAAGTAGGCACCCTTAATAGCATGAAGAGGCAGGATCTTGGGACAGACTCAAAAGCTAGCTATGCCTACAGGACGTATCTGAAAAGTAGTCATTTCCTAAAGAGGTCTCCATACTGCTAATAAAGCTACCTACTGTAAGTAACTTACAAACATCAATGCAAACAGCAAACAAGTAAATAGAAAATGGGGAAACAGGGAAGCAAGATACAACCCATAATCTCCAACTCACCCAAGATAAGGACACATTGAGGTGGAAGAAATAAAAAACCCACTAGCTGAAATTTATGACATGGTGGCAGTGGAAGTAACAAAACGGATGAATAAGTCTCTTGACAAAAAGAAGACAAGAGATAATTAAAGAGATGATGACTACAATGAAAGAAGTGATTAGTGAATCTAGATTAGTTTCTAGAAGGAGAAGCGCAAACTAAACCTAAAATGCATACAAGGAAAGATTATAAAAATCAGAATAGGAATTAGTGCAATTAAGACTAAGAAAACAATACAAGGAATCAATAAATTCGAGAGTTGCTTCTTTGAAAGATTAAATAAAATACACTAGCTAACTTTATAAAAAATAGGAAAAAGACTGAAATCTGTGCAATTTGGAAAGAATGGTTAAAGGGAAAGAAATCTGAAAAAAGTATTAAGATATATTATGCATGGGTACAAATTCTCTATGATGAACTGATCCATCTGCGTCACAGACATGTATGAATAAGAAAGTTCACAAAGAAGTAATGTGCATGAGCCAGTTTTCTAAAATAAAATGTATATCATGAAATCACAATAGTTGAAATCATGTGCTTATGCCAGAAATGACAGACCAAGGAACAAAATATGACATCACACTTTAAATCAGCCAGGAAAGGGTGGATTATTCAGTTAAATGTTGGGACAACAGTTACTATGATGGTCCTATCCAGGGGAAAGACACATACACAAGTCCTTTGTAAAAGATCTACTGGCCTGGGTGGGGGGCCCTGTGGCCACACCTGGGCCATGGGCCAGGGGCATGCTGACTTTGAGCTTCTGGTGGAGTCATAGTGTACCTTAATTTACACATTTGTGTCACTAGGAGGAAGCAAAGAACCTGGCTTATTCTTACTTTAAAAGCTGCCAGCTGTCCTATGGAAGCCTGGGTGTGCTGCTGGGACTATCCAGCGCTGATACCCTCGAGTCTTGTTTTCCAATGAGGCAGTCTCCATTTTTATTTTGCTAAAGGCTGAGAAGAGCATATTCTCCAATCCATCTTCCAACCCGTATCTCCCAATGAACATCGTCCTGGGGACAGGACCAAAACAAAAAATTCTACCAGCCTAATCATTCTGAAAACATTTAAGTAATATTTTTCTCTCCCAACTTACAATGAATTAAATTAAAAAATTAATTTTAAAAAAAGAACAAAAGTAGAAATCTCAAGTGTCTACCCTAAGGAAATATGATGGTTTTTCTTCTTGCTAGAATAAGCAACTGAACAACCAACAAAATCAAAGGCTTGCCGCTCTGTGTTCCCAAGAGTCTTCCTGAGAACCTCCCTCAGC